ATGCTTGGCCAATTCCCCTACAAGTGTACATCATCTAAAGAAAGATTTGCTCAAGCATGGTAGAGGAAAATGTGTGAGAAAATGACAGTCATTGGGTGGTTTAATTGTAGTCATTTAAAGCAAATTGAAGATCCGTAATTGAGCTCCATATGCATTGATCCTTAAATCCCCAGGGTCTTCTAATTGGAATAAGTAATTGATAACTTGTTAATAGCCTAATTATAATCAGTACTGTAAATCTTGTAAACAAACAATTCAATGTGACTAAGAGAATTGGCTCCATTATGTAGAATGATTCAGAGTAAGGATTCAATTGAAATCAAACACAAGCAGAAAGCAAGCTGGTTAGAAAGTTATGGGACAAAATCCAAATGCACATAATTCTTTTGGCTGAGACATGCATACACAGATAGTATTTACATACATGATATATAATGGTTAATATGAAAGCTTATCAACAAGAAGAAAAAGTCCAAAGAGTATAGAATAGAGTGCTATTATATTTTTGTTCTCAACAACTGTGCTAACAAACACATACAGCTGAGCATCAGTGGCTTATGACTGCAATCCTAGCTACTTAGGAGGCCAAGACTTGAAGGATAGTGGCTAGAAATCAGCCTGGAAAGAAAAGTCAGAGAAATTCCATATCTAATTACCCAGCAAAATGGTAGACTTGGAGGCATGTCTCAAGAGCACCAGTCATGAGCAAGAAAGTCAAGTCAAAGTACAATGTCCTAAGTTCAAGCCCTGATACCAGTATACAAACACAAAAAGGAAACCCATGCCAGTAATCAGTGGCTTACACTTATAATCCTAGCTACTCAGGAGGTTGAGATCTGAGGATGGTGGTTCCAAGCCAGCCCAGGAAGGTAAATCTGTGAGACTCTTATCTCCAATTAACCACCACCAAAAAATAAAAATAAAAAAAGAATAAGAAGATGGAAGTGGAGCTGTGGTTCAAGTGGTAGAGCCCTAAGCCTTGAGCAAAAAAGCTCAGGGATTGCGCCCAGGCCCTGAGTTCAAGGGCAAGGACAGGTATCAAAAGAAGAAACCCACACGCAGCCTTTTGAGGATGAGGTCTGTGCCATGGGGTTTTGAGAGATCATAGAGCTCATTCTTCTATGTGTGTAGTGTTATTGTAGCATAAAACACAAGGTTTGACCATGAAGAGGCTGGCAGTAGGGAATCATTCATAAGGTGCTTCAATGTTATTACAAAGTGATGGCAGACAATGTGAGGGCATACTTGCCCTCAACTGGCTTCTAAAAGGCTGCATTTTGATAGGTATAAGATTATGTATTCTACTAGGAAGTCATTTTAAATGAGATCCCATATTCTTCTGCTTCCTCATCTACCTCCTCCTCCTCCTCTTTTTTTTTTTTTTTTTTGCTATTCTAGGGTTTGAATTCAAGGCCTTGTGCTTAACTAGGCAGGTACTGTGCAACTTGACCCATGTCCCTTCTCCAAAAAATTTTCTTCCCCTTGTATTTTCTGTAAGGGCTTCCATTTGTCTTTTAACCACCACCTCCCAAGTAGAGCTAGGATTACAGGCATGAGACATGTTGCCCAGTCAGATCCCATATTCTTCAGATTCACAAACTTAACACACAACTTCATTAGCCCTATTTTCTTTTCTTACTACTAAGAAGCAAGTCTCTGGATTCTAAATGGGTATACAGTAGTCCCCTTCTTTATCCATAGAGAATACGTTCCAAAACAACCAGTGGATGATGATGGAAAACATACAACGTTCATTTACTTCTACACATGATTTCTGTTTTTCCTCCTTAATTAAGAAGAAAACCTTTTTACTTCAAGGAAGCTTTACTGAATTGCCATCAACACTAGTCCTGCATCCCAGAGCTAGTAGTGACTTGAATACAAGCACGGCAGCACCCACCATTAATGTGCTCATGGAGACAGCTGATAAGGGCCTAATGGGCCAGTAACATATATGGTAAGGTTGATTCATGGCCTGGACAGGATGGAGCTGGACATCAGAACAATGCACACCTCGGAATGTATGAATGATATCTATAATATTCCTGTTGATACTTTTAGACCATAGTGGACCTTGGGTAACTAATGCTATGGAAAGTGAAACTCTAGGTAAGAAAGGATTTCAGTCGTCTAGCTCAGAGCATTTACATTGGTCTGTAAAAGCAAGAAAGGAGAAGTATAGGTAGAGGACTAGCCTTATTTGGCTAGTCCTGCTTTTATTTGAACCATATCATTACAATATATTATGTGTTATACAAATCACAGGAGACATGAGAAAGCCAAAGGTGTCTCATAGAAGTTTTAGCACATAAGGAAAAAAGTTCAGGTGATGGGTGGAGTGAGCCTGAGGGTCCATCCCCCTAAGTAAGTACATCACTTACAGTGGGAGGGGATCTCAGCTAATTTCTCCAGGATGAAGGAGCTGGGGGTGGGGAGGACTAGATGAGGGATTGTACGAGGGATTCCTGGTAGATCATTTTGCCCCTGTAAGTTCTCAGGTTGTTTCCACTGGGAACATGGTATCTCTTTGCCAAGGAACACTGTTTTATAGTTGAACTCAGGAGGAGATAAGCAAAAGCTTGTAGCTGGCATACAAATATCTACTGAGCATCTAACAAAGCATCTACAGTCAGTCTTGGAGTGCAGGTGAGAAGCATACAAGGGCATAAATTCACAGTTGATGCTTGGTGTTCCAACCCACTTATGTCTCCCTCAAGACACCTGCAAGTGGTAAAAGTACCACTTGCATTTCAGCATGATGCGAAAAAAGTTTTAAAAAATAAACACAAAGGATTCATTTTCCCCCAGCTATTCCTAAAGGAGGCCAGTTGCAGTCTGCCTGGTTGAGCAGGCAATCCTGGATTCTCATTGTGGTAAACAATAGACAGGCCAGTCCTGCTAATTAGGTAACATAAAAGGGTTGAGTGTGTGTGACTCTGAGCACAACTGGGAGAAAAGAGAAAGAAGCAGGAAAGAAATTCTGTCTACTCTGGGCTACCTCCAAGCTGTTGAGCACTGTGGAGAGTAAATGTCTCCTGGAGCCTCCTCTCTAGACCTATTCTTCTATATTCTATTGTAGATATCTCTATGCTATGAGAGGGATGAGGAGGGCAATGGCATTATGGGGAATGAAAGTCTCAGTGACATGTTCCTGGAGAAATGAACTCACAGAGAGTTGGCAGTGGGCACAAGAGGAGAGAAGAAGCTACAAGGCAAGAAGAACAATCCAATCTTTTGCTGTTGATTATCACACCCTCTTAGAATGTCTGAAGGCAGAGTGAGAAATGTCTTCACAGCAGCAAAGACATGGAAGGAAGCTTTGCCTCCAAGTTTCTATGAGCCCTTCCCAAATCTTTTTCAAATATAGGGGGTGCCCCTCAAAAAAGAGGAAGCGAATGCCAGCTGGTTTGTGGAGATATGTTTAATTCAGGGTCTATACTTGGCTCTTCCATCCCATACAGACTACCAAGCTATAGATGCTGCCGTAGCCCCTTGATGGCCAAAGGGATACTCTGAGCTGCATTGTGCTCATTCAGCTTAATCTTTCTCTCTCACTTGTTCCTCAGTAAGGAGATGCTGAGTTAAGGAGAGCAGCTGCAGGATAGGCCACCTTTAAAGACCCCTGGCCCCCTCTCTCTGGACATGCAATGGCCTAGCGTCATCTATTCTACAGCTGACATTTTTCTTATTGGTATGGTTAATTAACTCTTAACTATTATTGGATACCTTATATCAGTCCATTTACATTTAGCAACATGTCTAGTGTCAAGATGATAAAAAAAATATCTGAAGGGTTTAAAGATTGATTTGTGGCTGGAGCACTGGTGGCTCATGCCTGTAATCCTAGCTATTCGGGAGTTGAGATCTCAGGATCAAGATCTGCAGCCACCCCAGGCAGGAAAGACAACGAAAACTCTTATCTACAATCTACCATCAAGACCTTGAGAGTGGAGTTGTGGCTTAAGTGATAGAATGCTAGCCCTGAAGGATAAAGTGAAAACAGCATCCAAACCCTGAGTTCAAGCTCTAGTAGTGGTACACCACAAAAAAAAATGATTTGTGGATAAAGATAAAACAACTGAGGACTATTTTGTCTAGAAAAGCAAAGAAATAATACTGTAATGATCTTTTCTACCCACAATCAAGAAGATGGTTCCCATGTAGGCCAAATACAAACTCCCTCAACAGAGGGCTGAACACACTTCCGTGGGCAATGGCCCATCACTGGGATACTACTGTGGGACACTGCACAGCTGGGAGCATGTGGTCCAGGATGGTGTCTGTCATCACACAGCCAAGACATACACAGGGCTATCATGTGAGTGATTCCATCTGAATGTGTATAAATTTAGAAAACTCTCAACCTGCTTAGGGCATAAATGCTATACTGAATGCTTACTAAAGTGCTAAAGAAATCTCCAGAGATTATGAGGAAAACCCCATGTCAGACAAGGCTGCTAAGAAACAAGCAAAATACAAGTATAATTCTGTTTTCTGCCTATTTCAAACTGGTTCCCTTCTGCTTTGTCAGTTTCCTTTTTTCTGCAGAGAAGCAGTAGCCAGGCCTGGCCACTGGCCATAAGCTTTGGCCTAACGTATAATTAAGTTCTCAGGCCCTAGAGCACAATACCTTTGTGTATGTTCCCTGTGGAGTGGGGCTCCCATCAAACTCCCAAGTTGCCCTGCTGGGCAGGCCACTGTGGCTGTCAGCAGACATTCAGAGATTATTTTCTAACTGAGGAACACGAGCTTCTCACTCACTACCTCCACCCACCAGACCCACCTCCATCTGAAGACTAACCACAGATATGAACCACTAGCTGCTTACATCTGCGTGGCATTCGGAATGCATTCTCTTGAAAACAGAACACACTGCATGGAGCACTTGGAAAGTAAAGCTGGGAAGGAAAGGCACAGACATCCAAAGGTGACAGTGGACAGTCTAGATACCCAGTCCCACCCCAAGTGACACAGTCAGAAGGGATACAAAAGGCACGTACGTCTGGGTCTCAGCTCTGAGGCCTCGGAACCAGCACCTTCCCCAGGAAAGCCGAGAGGCTCCACCACATCTGTGTCAGGAGGAGGGTAAGGTGGGGGTGGGGGAAGCACTAATTGGGGTGGACCCCGAGCTGCGCCTCTGGGAGGCTTTTGAGGCACCTGCCGTCCAATACCTACATGGAATCAATGGGGAGGGACTTCAGAAAGTTAAGCCAAAAGATCCCTGGCCTTCTGAGAGACCACACACTCACATGGCCATTACTCACCAGTCATCACATCCAGCCACACCCAACACCAACATCTTATCCAGTATCAAATCCAAGCTCCACTGCCACCATATGCAATCACAACACACCCCAACATTTATATTTGTAGTGTTCCATCACCAAGCCAATTTGGAAAAGTCTGCCTGGATATAAATTGTTTCTGGCAGGCACAACTAAGTAAACGGCTGGAGTTGAAACTATAAATGAGAACCCCGTAAACAGCGCTGTCACTCTGACTGTTGAGCCATACGTTCACTCGTTCCTATTTTTCACAGTAAGTCTTTTTCAGGGTCACAGAACTGTGTTCTACCTAACTCTTTTCCATATCCATCCATTTATTATGAGTAGGCTGGCCAGTGACTTTGCTTGCCGATTTTTAGCCAATTTACATTGTACCCCTTTTACTGTTTAAGGCAGTAATTTTCAGTTTCATTTGAAGAGAGTCCTAAATTACAGAAGAAGTTAGAGGTGATGGTCCCAGCTCCACTGCATGTAAGGAAGCTGAAGAACACCTTTGTTTGTATTACACACTATTTTATATAAAAATGGCTTTCTAGGCTAATGAAAAAATATAAAGGCCAATGACTTAATGAAATAAATGATAAGAATGACCTGGGTCATAGGTAATGTTTACTCTCATTTCTTTCAATAACTTTCTTCAAGCTTCCCAATTGAGAGTCTCCTAATAATAATATATTTTTGCTTCAAGTGATTAAAAAGTTATTAAAAATACCACTTCTTTACCAAGAGACAGATTTGCTTATTACTTCTCTTGGATATAGTTCTCTAAATGTGGGAAAATGTTAATTTCTCCATATCAAAACATCATTTCCTCCACCAAACTGCAAGTAATCCAGAATCAGTCTGGTTGGTGCTCCAGTCAGGCCCATGAAGGTGGCCTTCTGTGAGAAGTCATGCTGAGGGCAAGGCACACAGGAAGGATGTTCAAAGGTTCATTTATGCTTCCAAATAGATTAAGACTCAAATCAAACTAGCTAAACCACTCCAAAATAACCTCATTTTTTATATGTAGATGTCTGAGTAGAACAAGTCCTTAATACTTTTTGTGGACAGGGCTTACTGTTTTCCTTTCAGCCTGAGTCCTAAACTTGGTCTGGATTTGATGTTGTACTGCTGATGAATTTTAATTCACAAGGAGTTCTGACAGGGATGAAAGTTTGTCTCGCACAGACCAGGAAGAAATGTAGCCAAGTACTATTATTCATAACTCCTCAACTGTAGAATACCAACCTTGCATCTCTGTAGGTATACAAGGGCACCAGCTTACCCCAGGTGGAGAAGGTACTCTAAGTACCAAGTTCATAAAGAAGTGTGTCTCTCTTGGCTGTGTGAGCGGGTCTTTCCTGGCTTGAAATGGACTGTCTGCTCTGGAAGTTGGGCTTGACTCAGCCTCATCCACAGGGTTACTTCTAGAAGATGCTTCTGAGAATGTCTACAAGGAGCTTTCTAAATGTGAAGGGTCTGCCCCTTTCCAAAGAGAAAGGGAGTATCTCATCATGAAATAGGAGAAAACTTGGTTTAATTGAACAATCCATTGATAATGATTTTTTAAAATCTAATAGTATTGTCTCCTGGGAGAGAGGATGAACTGGCATGAAATATAGGTTACTGCTTCTTAAGGTAATTGATTTCCAGGCTATGAAATGTTAGAGCATTGAAAGTGAGGTATTGATTAATGGGGAAAATGCTGACAAACACCCAAATAGCCCTTATTAAGGCTCTGGACCTTGACAATGCAGCCACTTATCTTTGAGATTATTTTCCTCTGGGGCCAGACACACTATCAAAATAGGGGCCTACCTGGGCTGATTCAGGCCCCAGCAAGTTGTCTGATGGCTTCAGGAAGAGCTCTGATGCCTTTATTTATTTGTTTATTTGAAGACTGGAACTAGGGCATGAGCTCAGCACCTGAGTGCTATCCTTCAGCTTTGTTCGTTCAAGGCTGGTGCTCAGCTGCGCTAGAGCTAGAACTAGAGCTATACTTCCAAACTTTTGCTGGTTAACTGGAGATAAGCATCTTATGGACTTGCCTTCCTGGGCTGGCTCTGAACCTTCATCCCCAGATCTCAACCTCCTGAGTAACTAGGATTATGGGTATAAGCCACTAGCACCTCACTAAAGACACACACACACACACACACACACACACGCGCGCGCACACACACACACTTCCATATAGTCACGTAGTGTTCTTTGAGAAGGCTTTATTGTTGGTGGACACTACACTGTGCCATGTTCCAATCTCTTCCCTGCAAAAGTGATTTCTGTTCCTATATCTATGAAATAACACAAAACTCTGAATTGGTTTTAAAATGAAATGGAGCTTAAGCTCCTTCCTTTCCCATCTTTCCTGCTCACATGAGGGTGGAGTATAATGATTCACAGGTCACTTTCTGCTTATAATTATTAGGATTCCATCTTTCCCTTTGGGTTTTCTTATTCACAAAGTATACCAGGATCTTTTCTAAGACTCTGTATAAGAGCTATGTAAATGGAGATCAATTGCAATCATGATGGTCAGGAAACTACTGGACACATTTACAGGCTGGGTATCCCTAAGCTTAAATGCTTAGGACTAGACAACTTTCAGATTCCAGATTTTTTTCTCCCCAATTTTAGAACATAATAAGCTATATCTTGGGGATTAGACCCTATTTTAAATATGAAATCTATTTATGTTTTATACCTTCCTTTCCAACAGAACCTGGAGATAACATTTTAGATAATTTTGTGCATGAAACAGCATTTCACTGGGAGGAAATTTCCAATTGTGGCTTAATGTCAATGCTTGAAAGTTTGCAGATTTTGGAGGATTCTTTAGGATTTTCAAATTAGGGATTCACAGCTACCTAACTCTCACCAGGGACCAAAATGACTGCAAATGCTAGATGTCTTTCAAAGCAGTCTGAGGATGTCATCTCAGGAAATGATCTTTCGCCCATCAGTGAGACACACTTGTCAGACACACGCATACTCCTTGTTACCTTCCCAGCTTTGTCAGCCTCTCCACCCTTCCTACCACCCCCAATCCTCAATACCCACCTAATGCCCATACATACTGCTAGTGAGCTAGAAGATGAACTTACAATTCTTCATTTCTGGACTGTCTTTCTTGAGTGTAACGGTGTCCTGAGTTAATGCTGGCCTGGCTGAGTGCACTGAGAGAGTGTTAATAGCGTGCTGATAAGGTACATGCAGCAGGCATCCTGGAGGCATGCAGAGAGCAAGCCAAACTCACCCACTGTGCTCTTTCTGTTCTCTTCCTTGTCCTCCCTGCGATTGGGGACCAAGGGACTTGGTGGTGGTGGCTGTGGTGGAGGAGCTGGCGCCCGCCGCTTCTTCTTCTGCAGATCAACCTGGGAGCTGAGAGATGCCTAGGAAGCACAAAGGAGGAAGACAAGAGAGTCAGGGATGACACGTGTGCAGAGCATACCCCCTACAGAAGCAGCTTGGTGTGGCACAGGGGCTATAAGGAGATTGTCAGATTGTGGCTCCCATTCTGAGTCCTCTAAGGCAGGCTGTGGAGGAAGTGATAGGAGGCTTGGTTATTTCCCAGGAGTGACATATGGATGGTCACACCCCTCCAAGAACCCCAAGAATGGAGTCCATATTTTTAGGGACTCCAGAGCATAAATGAGAAAGTGATCTTTTTCTCACATTTAAATGAAAAGAGAACAATCTCTTCTGGGATAGGGGTGGGGAGCATAATGACTTGTGCCCAGGCAGAGGAAGAAGAGATGAGTGTGGCTCAAAAGTCTCCCCCTGCCTCCTACTGCTGCCCGCTTGCCCTGACTAAGGCCTGCTCCTTGCTTCTGCATGTCTGTACTCCAGAACGGTGAGGACAGACATGGCTTACATGGCAGAATGCCAGCTGTGAGCAAGAATGCTGAGTGAGAGGGGAAGGCCCTGAGTTCAAACTCTGGTATCACCATGGAGAATTTTTTTTAAGGAAGAAAGTTATTACTTCATTAACTTTGAAGGACACTGCATTCTGGGTAGAGCAGTGCAGAGAATGTGCCTATAATGAAAACAATGACATTGCTTGTCCCTACTCTCAAGGTGCTCAGACATACCTCTTGACCTTTCAAGGGCTCATTATGGAGGTGATGTCTGTGTACACCACCACTGTGAGCTCACAGCTCTGATTTCTGTGCTCCATTATTTACTAACTCATGCTTGTACCGTATATATGAGAATTAAAAGTATGATTCTACATCCCAAGAAGACAGTCTCTCCTTCTGGTATTTCAAGTATATGTGTCTGTGCTCAGACACGTGTGTGTGTGTGCGCACACACACATATGTGTGTATAAAACATTCTTTTAAATATTCAGTGTCAGCAATACTCACTTACTGCAGGAAGTATAAAGTGTATGTAAAGGCTGAAGTTCTTTGTACCTTTAGGGTGCTGGGGAGGAAACCCACAGTTGTGTATGCTAAGCAAGCATAATACTGGTGAGCTTTATGCTCCCCAGCCCTTACAATGTACAAATAAGGAAAGAAAGAAAATAAGCCCAGAGCCAGTGGCTCACCTCACATCTGTAATCTTAGCTACTAAGGAGAATGAATCTTGTGGGGTCACAGAGTTTGAAGCCAAGTAGAAAAGTCTGTGTGATTCCATCTTCAATTAACCAGCAAAATGCTACATTGGAGACATAGCTTAAATGGTGGAATGCCAGCTGTGAGCAAGAAAGCTGGGTGAGAGGGGAAGGCCCTGAGTTCAAACCTTGGTACCACCATGGAGAATTTTTTTAAAGGAAGAAAGTTATTACTTCATTAACTTTATATACAGACCAAATTACTAATAGTTGGCATGTAGTTTTCTAATCTTTCCTTTTTTTCTTAAAGGTGATGATTTTCTGTTAACTACAATGTATTATAAACATTCCCCTTGACTTTAAAGTCCTACAGTATCTCAGCCTCTTTCTAAATGGCTAGGATTACAGGTATAAGCCACTAGGCCCATTTCTTTTCTTTTCTCTTTCTCTGGGATTTCAATCACTTGAGAGAATTCTGAATCAATTATCCATTTTTTAAAAAAAAAGTATTTTCTCAATTGAACATAATATACAGGCATAGGGAAAAATGAAAGATTCAGCTTAAATACAAGTCAAAAGTCAAGATAACATCCCTACTTCTTCACAATTATTTGAATGATTAAGATTATTCTAATTTTTTAAAAGCTTGTTCTACTTGTTATCAATTACTTTGTGTGATTCCTTCTCTTGAAAATTTCCTTTACTTCACTGTTCAACTCAACTCATGACTTTAAAATTTTGTTATTATACTTCCATGTTGTGTAGCATCTTGGTTTCCTGTTCACATATCTCTTATGAACTTGACACTATTATTTTTACATATTTTATTTGTGCTGGTCCTGGGGCTTGAATTCAGAATCTGGCTTCTGTCTCTTAGCTTTTCTATTCAAGGCTGGAGCTCTACTACTTGAGCCAGCGCTCAAGCTTTTGCTGTTGTTGGTGGTTCAGTGGAGATAGGAGTAACACTTTGCTGTCCAATCTGGCTTCTAACCTTGAGTTTTATATCTCAGCCTCCTGAGTAGCTAGGATTATAGGCATGAATCACCAGAACCTGGCCACATTTTGATGTTTTTCAAATTTCAGTGATCCTTGGCTAAATACTCATATTTATTTGTGAATACAATCTGTTCATGTGGTAATGGAATCTCTGTGGGTTTCTGAGCGGAGACATGATCAGGTGATAGGAAGGTTCCCAAATAGCCAGATTTACAGGATTTTTGTCCTGGGTCTGACACCATCCACAATAATCTTTCCAACTCTGTCAGAAGTAGAATACTGTGTCTGCTGAGAAGACAGATCCTCCTGTAGCCTGGGGACTTTCACTGTCTGTTTCGGTGCAGATTCGGTTGCGTTTGATGTTCTGGATCTACCTGACTTGAGGGTCTTCTTGCTCTGCAAGCACAGGCACAGCCAGCTGTGGTATACCGAGCAGTGTGTGTGAAACACTCTTGAGTCTGCTGGGGGTGTGGACTCTCCTCACCCCAACAGTCAGGAGTTACCTGCTTCTACTTCACCAGGTATTGGCCAGAATAAAAAACACACCTGAGCTTCAGAGTGTTTCCAGAACACTGTTGGTGCTTTGCTCTGCCACAGTGGATAAATAATGTTTATTCATTTTAGTAATTTTTCAAAAGGAGAGATATAAAATAATTTGCTTTATTAACCATATTCTCCCATACGGTCCAGCCTTATTAAGTATAATTGACAAGCATGCAATATATATTTATATATTTTTATATATACTTAAGGCATATGGCTTGATGATGACATACATTATGAAATAATCGGTCAAGCTCAGCATACTTACCACCCATGTGGTTGCTGTTCACATTTTTTTCTTTTCAAAATATCTTTTAAGCAAAATCTCAAGAATTAAAAAAAATTACTATTACTATTGGTTTGATGAGCCATAATAAACCCCTTGGCCTTCAGTTCAACAGTAAAAATGTGTATTTTTGGTTGTTATAAATTAAATTTCTTAGAACACTCCCATAATTCCCTTATTTCATTTTTATTTCCTTCCCTCCTTACTGCATTTTTTCAATCAATCCATTTATGGTAACTCTCAAGTAAAGAACATGTTAAATTCCAAATAAAGACACCAGATTCTAAAGGTGCTACCCTACTTTAAAACAAAACGAATCAGGAAGTGGGCAGAATAGGAAGCCCCAGTTCCCGTTTCCCCACAGAAAGTGACTTAATAACAATTAGCAATCTAAAATGCTTTTACGTGAACCCCTGAAAAACAGATGTACCCAGGGCAAGCTCAAAGCCAAGAGCAGCCACAGTGAGTAAAAAAAAGTCAATTCATGTGAACTCCTATAGCTCTTCCCCCAGGCTAGTACAGCTCTGCACTAAAGGGGGAGGGAGGAATAAAGGCTGATTCACAATCCTCCCTTGGGAGAAAAGACCAATCAAAAGTCCAGCTTCCTAGAAAGGCTTGCCAGGGCCTTGAGGGGGCATGATTTCTATCCTGTCTGATTTGGACCACTGATGGGGAACTGGCATCTTTGGGGGGCCTAGAGTTTTGGAAAGTGGGAGCTGAGAAGAGCTTGAAGGCTGCTTGTTGTAGAGCTTGGAGACCTCGCACTGCCCCTAACAGAGGCTGGCACAGCTTGGTACAAGCCTTTGGCACAATTATGGAAAATACTAGGTTACAGATCATCCCTTGGGAGGAAATGAGAAGCGAGGAAAATTCCTGCAGCGCTCTTCTTCCCTTTTGGAAGAAGACTGGGAGTATGAGGACTGAGGACTGCAGAGATCAGGCTGGTGGGTTGGGACACAGTAAACATGCAGTAACAAAGACAGACACAAGAGGGAGCAAGAAATTATAAGCCACTTGTAAAAAACAAGAACAAAAAACAAACCCAAACCACAAACCTTTCTAATTAAGAATCCCACACACAAAACCACAGAAAATATGTCCCCAGAAGAAGTTTGAGATACCATTATTCAGCTGGATGGAGTGATCTACTTTTGTATCCTGTTAAGTAGCTAATTTGTAAGGTCTGGCTAATTTTTCAAATATACAATTTATGGTTAAAAAACAAAAAATCAGGAGGGGCTGGGAAGGTGGCTCAGTGGTAGAGTGCTTGCCTTGCATGCATGAAGCCCTGGGTTCAATTCCTCAGCACCACATAAGCAGAAAAAGCCAGAAGTGGCGCTATGGCTCAAGTGGTAGAGCGCTAGCCTTGAGCTGAAGAGCTGAGGGCCCAGAGTTCAGGCCCACGACCAACACCCCCCTCCAAAAAAAAAAAAAATCAGGAAAGTTGAGCTAAAGGAACAAGTTAAATCTCCAGAAAACATCTCCAAAGAAATGGAAATCCATGATTTGGAAAAGAAAAATAATTATTTTACAGAAGTTGAGTGAATAAAAAATAGCTAGCGGGGCTCAGGTGGCTTACGCCTATAATTCTAGCTATTCAAAAGGCTAAGATCTGAGGTTCATGGTTTGAAGCCAGCCCAGGCAGGAAAGTCTGTGAGCCTCTTATCTCCAATTAACCACCAGAAAACTGGAAGTGGTGCTGTGGCACAAAGTGGTAGATTGCTGACAGCACAGGATCTGAGTTCAAGCCCCACAACTGGCCAAAAAATTGGTAGCTAAGTAAAATACAGAAAACTATACATGGGCAAAGTTATACTTTTTTAAAAAAATACCTGTTCCTTCTATAAAAAGGAAAAACAAATTCTGGAGCTGAAAAATAAAATAAGTTTAAAAGCTTACAAAATGGATTCATACTTAGATTTAGTCAAGTGGAAGAAACAATTAGTAAACTTGAAGACATGTCACTTGAAATCATTCCCCAAGTTAGAGGAGAGAAATGGATGTGCAAATTC